AGACAGACAGACAGACAGACAGACAGACAGACAGACAGACAGACACCATGGGTGCTTTGGAAGCAGATAGGCAAACACAGTACCAGAGATGTCTGCAAGTGTAAGTAGCCCTTCCTCTCACTAGAAAGAATCTGACTTTACTGGGAAGGAAGTGGCAGCAAGCAAGCTACGGATGCTGCCAGATTCTACAATGGTTGGGTTGTCTTTGTAGGCTACAAGGAGTAGGCAGGGAAGCAAAGCTGGGTTGTTGCTTGACTCTATGAGAGAGTTTAGAGCAGCCTAATGGAAATCCTCCCAGAATGGATGTGGGGAAGAAATACATACACCATGACACATTTTCAAAAGGCTGTTTAACTATTCCAGTGATAGTTCTCCTCTATGTATGTGAAGGCTTTGGGGAGAATGAAGACAGATGTTGCTGTATATTTATGCTCTCACAGGTCTGAAAAGTGTAGTTTGTAGATCGTAATGGAATGGGTGGTTACAGCCTTGGAAGAACAGGGAGTAAAGTGTTGAGAGAAAGAAGCAGGAAGCAGTTATAAGGAACATGGGAGGATGGGGAGGAAAAAAGCTTGAAAACTAGGAATACAGTGATTGGAATACAGTAATACAGGAAAGAGGCACTCACTGAGCAGTAGATTAAAAAGCAAAACAAAACAGTATGCAGTGGGAAAGGCATTTCTCTTTTTCTAAGCCACAGGATGGCATAACTCTTCATGCCTGCTGTATTTGTACTGCATCTGTTATTGCTGCTGCTGCTGTTTCTCCTTTAGAGCTATTAGATTACAGATTTAGAATCACAGAATCATAGAATAGTAGAGTTAGAAGGGTCGATGAGGGCCATTGGGTCCAACCTCTAGCTGTTGCAGGACACCATGTTACACCATCCCACTCAGATGACTGTCCAGTTTCTTTCTGAATGTCTCTAGTGTGGGCGAGGCAGCTGGTCCCACTGTTGCATTGCTCTGACAGTGAGGAAGCTTTTCCTGATAGCTAGCCTGAATCTGGGCTCTTGCAACTTGAATTGATTATTACGTGTCCTACACTCTGGCATTTATTATTATATTGTACTTCTATCCCATCTTTTTTTTCCCTCCTGCAAGGAATGCAAATCGGTTTACACGGATTGTCCACTCCTCACAACAACCCTATGAGGTGGGCTAGGCTGCTAAGTCTGTGACTGGCCCAAAGTCACCAAGCGAGCAGCATACATGGCCAAGTGGGGACTAGAGCCCAATCTCCCTGGTCCCAGACCAACTTAATAACCGCACCACGACATGTAATCCTCTTTGTGCTTCGTTAGAAAAACATCCAACTACTCCCAACACTCCCCAAACAGGAGAAATCCAGAAGCTGTAAGACATTTTCTGTCTGAAGATGCAGAGGATTCTACCTGTAATTGAGTGCACCCTGAATTGATTAAACTTATGATTTGTAGACTGGAGTTGAATAAATCCATGAAAGTTTATGGCATAATAGATTTGCTTCTAATACATTTGCCCTAAAGTGCCACTATTCTCTTTTGTTTTTCATGATGAACGGATATGTAAATAATAGCCATTGAGCAGATCTGTTATTCCACTGTAAGAAGCAAGGGGTGATTTAGCAGCTTGTACAGAACCCAATTTTGTATGCCAACAAAAGAAGAGCATGCATCAGGTTCACCTTGACCTTTCTTGTCAGGGGAGGAATAGAAGGTAAATGGCTTTGGAGCCTAGTATTTCTGCCTATGGCAATTCTGTACAGGAACCTGCTCTTTCTGAGACTGGTTTGCTTCTGTGTTCTGCTTGATAAGCAGAGCAGCTCTGTCCCAGTGCATCTTACTGTCTATTTTGAGAGATGCCACTATCATCCCGCTTCTCTCCATTGTTCTGCGATAAAGCTGCATATGGACTTCAACTGAGGTGTTTATATGGCAGTTTCTTAAACAGGAAAGGATGCAGCAGCTACATCCACATTAGAGGGGATAGTTTTAGACCACCATTTTTGCTGTTCAGCATAGAGTAAGGTTCTGGTGAATCACTAGTAAAAACAGTTCAAAGCCTGGTGGCAACTTAAAAATTGCTAAACGTACTGAGAACTGAGCCCCTCATAGCAACATAATACTGAGTCAGGCCATGTAGGTCTACCTGCCCAAGGAGTGTTAACAGAAGCAGAAGCTCTTCTGGGTTCCAGACAAACGATATTCTAGCCCTGTGTGAAAAGACAGAGGATTGGAGAAGGGACCTGTTACAAGCAAGCAGGTACTTTGCCAGTGAGCTATGGCTTGTTGCTTGCATTTGCTGAAGTGTGTTCTAGCTCAGTGCCAAAGCTTATGCTGCAATAAAGAATATGGGTGCACAAGGTTCTTTGTTGTTTCGGATGCAGCAGACTAAAGTCTTTTGGAGGCATGGCTGTGTTACTCAGACTAATAAGCATGACTATCAGGATTTACTAAGCTGGGCAGTAGCCTCAGGCAGGCAAACTGTTTGCTGACATGGCTTTGACAGGTAGATGCTTTCCAGCTAGCCTCAGGCATCAGGTACCCCAAGAGGTGGTTTGTGGCTGTCAACAAGCTATTGGAGGGTTTCAGATGTACTTTCTTTACACAGAAACAATTCTGCAAACACAGCAGCTAGAAAACTTTGCACTGCTGAACAACAGAAGGTGAAAATGGGCTACTATAATCTTCATACATTTTAAAAAACATAATGCCTGATCTAAGAGTTCAGAACCATGACAAGGGAATGCTCCTGTTGATTAAGCCAAGATACAGCAGGCATTAAAATTACTATCTATCCACTGCCAAAATAATGAATAGATTTTAATGCAGAAGTTTGTTCAAAGATTTGCACAAATCTCGCATTTTATGCACACACACACTTTTCTTGACTGTTTAATTCTGTTATTATATCAGTGATACGATCCCTTATAACCCTAAGTCACTGTTATGCTCTAGAATACTCACATGCTGTACAATGAGGTTCACAGCTGCTTTCGTAATGGATGCAAACTGCATAGGTAAAATATATGGCATCCAGTCTTTTGCTAGTCTGACTATGAATCAGGGAGCCTGAGCAACGGTGATGGTAGCATTACTCATTACAGGGCCTCACCTCGTGTGACCTTTCCTCCACCATCCCCTTTCCATAGGTTACGCAAGGCAAAAAAGATTTGTCACTGATGACTCCTGCCATGGATGCAGAGTGTTCGTGTAATTGCAGTGACAGAATTTTGATGACCATTGTGGTATTTCCTTCGAAATAATAAAAGGGCATTGCCTAAGTGACACCAACCCTGAGGCTGATGAGGCATTGCAGCATCTGGCTGCTGGGCTGTGGAACTCCAGAGCTGTCACTGCCTCCCCTGGGGTTCCATCCGCACACCTGCCCTGTCCCCACTGCCAATGAAGTGATTGTTGGGGCAGAGGGGGGGGGGCAGGGGCCTGTGCTCATGAGGGGGCGGGCAGACTGCACTGACACTTCTGGCAGCCAGCTCTGTTCTTCTAGCTGGGGCAAGGCCATCAGCCTTGGGCAGCAGTGGAAGGGCGGTGGCCAAAGGGCATTGTCATCTGGCACCATTTGGCAGCAGCTCAGGGCTGGGCCGGGCCCAAGGGCTTTTCTGGGCGCTGTGGTTTTGGTTCCCAGGAAGGGCTGTGGGTTATAGTTTGGCTTGGGCTGGTGCTGGACTGAGTGGTCTTTAGCTTTGGTTTTGTACATCTATGGAAATAGAAGGTAGTTACGACAGGGCGGGGTTAAGTGCCTGCTCCTTTGTTCTTACTAGCACCATATTTATTGTAACAGCACTTATTTTATTCTTTTAAAGTGTGTGTGTGTGGGTGTATATTAGAATATCTATGGGGGACCCTCAGGAGCAATGGAGCATCCCTATTAGCATGGTTCTGGGCAGGGGGAGGTATGATGTTGGGGGATTAACAAGTTACTGTAAGAGAAGAGGGGACAGGTGTCTCACTGCTGACCTCTCTTCTGGTTCTTCCCCCAACGAGATGATGCCAGGCAGTTGAATCAACCTGCCCTCAAGCTTGGTCCTGATGCTGTTGAACACCAGATCAGTCCAAAATAAAACATCTCTCATCCACAATTTAATACCACCTTTCTTTTTCATTTAATCCAGATGAGGGGGTGGCAGTTCTGAATCGGTGCCTGGATGGTGTGCTGGTCTGGATGAGTGCCAATAAATTGAGGCTTAATCTAGATAAGACGGAGGTTCTATTGGTAGATGGGACATTTGTTCTGGTGAATTATATTTGCCCTGTTCTGAATGGGATTATACCCCCCTAAGGAACAGGATGTGTAGTTTGGGGATGCTCCTTGACCCCGAGTTATCTCTGGAATTTCAGGTGGCTGCTGTTGCAAGGAACACTTTCCACCAGCTTTGGCTGGTCCATCAACTACATCCTTATCTGGACAGAAAAAGCCTACCAACAGTTCTAGCAACTCGAGTTCTGGTAATCTCCTGACTGGACTATAGTAATGAGCCTTATGGGTCTACCCTTGGAAATGGTCCAGTTACTTTAACTGGTAATAGATAGAGCTACAAGATTATTTACTAGGATTAGAAGACATTACCACATAATGCCAATCCTATATCATCTTCACTGGTTACCAATTGAAATTCCAGTCTGATTAAAAGTGTGAACATTGACCTTTAAAGCCCTAAATGGTTTAGAGTCTTGTTATCTAAGGGATGCAGGTGGTGCAGTGGTTTAAACTGCTATGCTGCTGGGCTGGTTGACTGAAAGGTTGCCGGTTCAAATCTGCACAACAGGGTGAGTTCCCGTTGCTCCATCCCAGCTCCTGCCAACCTTGCAGTGTGAAAGCATGCAAATGCAAGTAGATCAAAAGGTACCACTTCGGTGGGCAGGTAACAGTGTTCCATGC